AAGCTCCGGTAGAAACCCCTTCGGTTGCTATGGTTGTGTCGTCCTCACCGCTGCCCTTCGGGTCAAGTGTGGGGGCCGCCACCATGACCTCCTTCTCGATGCCGAGCTCGATCTTCGGGTCGGCCCCCTCGACCCATTCCTGGGCTCGAGACCACGGGGGGTTACCCCGTCGGTAATACGAACCCGTTCCTCGGATTGTCTATGGCTTCGGCCACGACGGTCAACTTCGGACCGAACGCGGGATTCAACGCACCGGTCAATCCATTTTTCGAACCTCATTGGACGTCCAACGGGCCTTTCCTCCATACGCTTAATGCAGTTAGGCCGATATCAGTGCCCGCTAGTACGGTCCAAAGGCCACTAAAGTTCAATGGCACACACTTCAAAATGTGGCAACAAAATATGATGTTCTTTTGACCATCTTGGGATTTGCCGAGTACCTACAGCAAGATCCTCCCCAGCCGAACGACGGCAACGACCCCCTCGTGGCGATGGTGAACCAAGCATGGTACCATAATAACTATCTCACCATAAACTACATCCTCGAGGGGTTGGCCGAGACATTGTACCCCGTCTTTGCTGGTACAAAGCTTGCCAAGGAGCTTTGGAGTAGCTTGAACAAGAAGCATCAAGCTGAAGATGCCGGCACGAAGAAGTTCATTGTTGGGAAGATGCTGGACTACAAGATGGTCGACAGCAAATCTGTTGTCGCCCAGGCTGAAGAGCTTACGGTAATCTTCAATAAATGCAATGAAGAGAAAGTAGGTGTCAGCGAGGCCTTTCAAGTGGCGGCCATTATTCACAAACTTCCCCGCTCTTTGGAAGACTTCCAAGCCGATCTCAAGCTCAAAAGAACAGAGCTGAGCCTGGAGCAACTGCTCACGCGGTTAAGGATCCGAGATGAAGGGCTTGCCAGAAGAGGTGGAGGGGCAAAGGCGAATGTGGTAGGACATCCTTTGGGCTCGTCACATGGCGGGAAGGACAAAAAGAAAATAGGTCCTAAAGGTGGTGTTTCTAAATTTGCAGGAAAGTGCTACAATTGTGGCATTACCGGTCATCGTTCGTTCGACTGTAGGAAAAAGAAGCCACAAAAGAACAAGAAGAAAACCACGGAAGCCATGTGCGCAGAGCTCGACAACTTGGACCTCTGCGCGGTTGTCACCGAGGTGAATCTCGTCGGGTCAAACCCGAGGGAATGGTTTGTGGACACAGGGGCCACACACCATATTTGCTCCAATCGGAGCATGTTTCACGACTTCCAAGAGACCACTGGTGACAAGATCTGGATGGGCAACTCGGCCCAATGGGCTTGTGAAGCTAAATGTAATGACTGTTCATGAAAAGATCAATAAAAATCTCGTTGCTTATGTGTATGAGTATTCCAGTTTATGGCATGGTAGACTAGAACATGTTAATTATGCATCTCTCTGGGAATTAATTAGCATGGAATACATACCAAAGTTTATCATTGACTTAACTCACAAGTGCGAAACTTGTGTTGAGGCAAAGTCAACTCGAAGTTCGTTTCAAACGATCGAACGAAATACTCAACCTCTAGAGTTGGTACACCGACTTGTGTGATTTTCAAACAACGCCTTCAAGAAGGGGTAATAAGTACTTTATTACCTTCGCCGATGATAGCACGAAATATTGCTATATTTATTTACTAAAAAGTAAAGATGAAGCGTTAGATACTTTCATTCGATATAAGAATGAAGTGGAAAATCAACTCAATCGCAAGATCAAAGCTTTAAGAAGCGACAGAGGTGGTGAGTATGACGCTCCACTTAATGAGTTTTGTGCACAACATGGAATAGTGCATCAAGTAACCCCACTTTATACAACGCAGTCTAACGGTGTAGCGGAGCAAAAAAATCGCACTCTAAAAGACGTGATGAATGCAATGCTACTTAGTTATGGATTACCCCAGAACATGTGGGGGGATGCTGTTTTATCAAGTAATTATTTACTAAATAAAATACCTCGTAAGAAACTTGACAAAACTCCGTATGAACTTTGGCATAATAGGAAACCTTCCTATAAGTATCTCAAAGTGTGGGGGTGTCTCGCGAAAGTACTTGCACCACCACCAAAGAAGATGAAGATTGGTCCACAGACAGTTGATGGAATCTTCATTGGGTACAATAGTACGTCATACCGGTTCTTGGTGTACAAATCAAATAATCCTGAATCAAACACGTGTAAGCACTTCGTTAATAACGAAGTGACGGAATAATGAGCATGCATGTACTTACGAACGAAGAGCCACTCGACTCTTTGTAATCTCCGTCAGGTCCAACGAAGAGCCAACTTCCCTCCTATAAAAGGAGGGCTTGGCTGCAGGGAAGAAGACACTTGCAAAAACGTCTCTGTATTACGAAAAGCTTTCCGACTATCCTCCGTTTCCGATCATCTTCTCCGGCGATAACTTCCCGTCGTTCTCGTTCGCCGGTGTATCATTCTACCGCTCTAGACTTTGCACGCTGCAGTTTTATCCTGGGAGGAGATTGTCCACGTTTGCTAGTGTGGGAGGCGGGCAATACTACCTTAAGGAAAACTTCGGTGACTCCGCTTTCCTGACCTCAATTTCCAGAAGCTGTTCCGGTTCGCCTCTATTTTCCCTCCGACATCTCTACTCGATGGTCGACACACCTGCTCCATTCGACTCCTTCCTCTGTCCGTTCGTGTTCCTGTTCTGTCTGTTCGTGCTCTTGCCATTGTCCGTTCTCGTTCGAGCTTCCTGAAGATTCAATTTTTCTTTATTTTATTTCAATTGTAAAATCCAAACGGTTTATAAGTTCAGATTATTATTATTATTATTATTTTTTATTCCCGCTGTAGTATTTAACAGTAAGCATCCTTGAAATGTTTAAGAGCTTGAAGAATGCAATGAATGGAATTTTCATCATCTTTACAAGTGATAGTGCGATCATCACCGAAGATTATTTTGATAATTCGGAGTATTTTACACATGGGATGATATTTGAAATTACTTTTTGCTGCATAATCATGTAAGAATCTTGTAAGATAATCCATGGAGGGGATAAATGGGACCGCCGGTCTCAGGCCTACGGGTGTTCCTCGGGACTGAATAAGGGATGTTTCGTGGATCGAGGACCAGACCGAATTAGATAAGGACCAGCTCAGGTACCGAGCTGGTAAAACCCGACCGGATCGGGACAGGATTGAATAAATGTAATTTTTATTTTACAAAAATTATTTTTTTATTTTAACTTAAAGTATTCAATTGCACAAAATTTTTACTATAAATCAAGCCTTTTAGCCCTATAAAATAATCATAGACCTCACCATTAATCTGTAAGGAATAAGCAGTGTGATTTCCACCAAAGTTGATCGAAGATATGAATTGGGGGGAGTGCATTGCATGGAGAATTTGGAAAAGACCTTTATAGCTGACAGAATCAAAAGACGAACCGCACGAAAGTATAATAACGCAAATTCAAGGTCGATCCCACAGAGACTTAAATATGTGAAGAATTTTATTCTAGATTCAATTGAATATTTCTAATCTAGTTGGACAAAATTTAATATTTAAAAACAACTAAATGTGAAAGTGAACAATTTTAAAGAAATCTTAAATTAAACTAAAACTAAAGATTGTACTAACTACTAAAAATTAAGAGATTAAAAATAAGTTTATAAATACTCATAAGAAAGAATTAGGACTTAGAATCCATTTATATATTCAAATGTAATTTTTACTCAATCATTAACTTCTTCCAAACTTACTAGGCATGATAATCTTGCAACCAAGTCTTGTTATCATGGAGGATATATCAATTAAGCTCTAAAAAACAATTTCTATAGTTTGCTATTTTTCAAAGTTTTAAGAGAAATTCAAATCATTAATTGTATCTCAACAAGAAATCACAACTAATATCTGCTCTTTTAACTTGTCAAGCAATTATTAAGATTATTCAAAGCATGAGAAAAACATGATTGAACTCATCTAAAAATTAACCCTAACAATCAATTGGAAAAATAGACAATAAACATTTAAGATCAATGTGGGAAAAAAATAAATATGAGTAAAAATCAAATAGAATATATAAGCTTCATCCATGCCCTAGCTATGGAGTTTAGCCAAACATAATGTAAAATTCAACAAAATTGATAACAAAAATTGACATAATTAAAGAAGAAGGGAAGAATTAAACTTTGGAATTAGAGGAAGAAGAGAACCCCATGCTGTTGAGTCGCTGCTCCAGGACGCCGGCGAAGCAAGGGCTGCCGCTGCTCTCTCTTGTTCTTCCCCGCCTCCTTTTTCCGTTTCCTTTTTTTCCGTTTCCAGCCCCCCTTCTTTGAGATGCGGCTCTTCTCTTTATGTCCATCATGTTTTTCTCTTTTTTTTAGGTTTCAATTGAGTTGGGTTGAGATGAGATTTGTATAGCAATTGGATAAAAACTTGCACTTGGACTTTAAATCTTCATTTCCATTAAAGCTTGGCCCAATTCTTCATCTCTTCAATTCGACACCCATTTTTTAATTCAAAAGAGTATATTCTGAAATTAAATATGAGAGAAATTAATTTCAAAACGAAATAAAATAAAAACTTTACCCAACTTATGATTTTAGTGTAAAAATATAACACGAAACCTAAAGAGCTAAATATTTCATTATGTAATTTATTTTAACATAAAATGCATTAAAAATATAATAAAGAACTAAAGTATGACCAAATAAAATGTGACAATTTGTAACGTATCACGTTTCTTAGATCAATCTTCATAATGCATCTAGGGGAAATATATTTTCTACCATAGCCCCAAGCTAGTTCTTGATATAGAAGAGCATTTTAGACAAGGCTTCCGCCCCTAATAAAATCTCTTTGATTCAAGTCATGATCTCTAGGAGGATGTTTTTGAGACTCTCTCTAATGAGCTTGGTTATAGTTTTATACTCCCTCCGTCCCAGAGTATTTGTCTACTTCCATTTTTACACACCATCCAATACACTTCTTTAATCCATTTTATCTTGTAATTGGTATATTAAAAAATTATAGAAATTATATATTAATAATCTATATGTTAAGACAAATCAAACAAGATCACACATGACTATATTTAGGCTTACACATTGAGAGAATTTGATTAGTCAAAGTGCTTAGATGAACAGTTTCAAAAGTCAAAAGTGGACGAATATAGCCGGAAGGAGGTAGTACTTTGCAAGAGGAAACGTCTCTGAAATCAGCAGGATTTACTTGGGGAATCATTCTTAGGGATAAGAGTAAGATTAGTGGCATTGATGTGATTCAAAGTATCACTATTGCGAAAGAATTCCAAGACAACATTTGTAGAGAGTTCCCCCACTTTGGTTCATTGTTTCTTAAAGAAACTACTATTAAATCCATCAGGACCTGGACTCTTACTATTAGGGATGTTAAAGAAGTTTGCTTTAATCTCCTAAGCAGTTATTGGGCTCAAGTTGCTAGGTAATAGAGAGTATTTTACCTTTTGGATTATGCCCAAATATATATCTTCTGTCCAATCAGGTTTTACCCGGCCAGGTAGCTCTCAAAGAAATAAAAAAGGACATTGGCAATACTTTTCTTTCATTCATTTTGCTGGCCTTCTTTGTCTTGAATAGGTATAATGTGATTATGGGATTTCCTCTTTTTGATCCAAGCATGAAAGATCTTGGTATCCTGGTCTCCTTCTGTTATCCATTCATGCTTAGCAAGTTGGCATTTAAGTAGATAAGAGTCTCTCAGTTTCTGATTTAGGTCATTGGTCAAGAAATTTTCCTTCATGATGAGGGATTCATTAGGATGATCCATCTTCCTGTTGGATATTTTAATTCATCTAATGAAGAAAAGGACATCATGGTTGCAAAAAGAAATGAACTCTTACAAAAATTTATGACACACACCCTATTTTCATACCTCAGCAATACCCTTTATTGTTTCCTTTTTGGGAGGATGAGTATCAAGAAAATATCCTTATAAGGGAATAATTTTTTGAGAAAAAATGTAAAGTTTTTTAAGATCTAAGTGAGAGAATTTGTTACATTTCGGATTAAAGAAAGAGAAAATTATGGCGGTATTTTTTGCTTACACAGAGATTGTATTTACAGTTTTTAGTTGATGCATACACGATGGTTGAAGCATAGAGAATTCAGTGGGTGCGGTTCAACTAGGACAAAGTTAGAAGATCAATTATGAGTGGCATACAAGAAGTTGTCATGACAGGTGATACGAAACCGGCATTCATTAGCCAACGAGTTATTCTACCATTTACATTCATTCTGGGAATTAGATATATGTTTAACAACTGTTTAGATGCAATGACCATTTGTAGAATACTTGGTTATCTAAATTTATTCATTACTATGACATGCAATCCCCAATGGCTATAAATTAAAAGATATATTACAATAAGAAAATGTAGGCCAGAAGATAGACCTGATATTGAATCTAGAATACTTAAAATGAAATTGGATCATTTAGAGATGAACATAAAAAAAGAGCGTATAATTTGGTGAAGTAATTGGAGGTTGGAACATCCCGACTCCCACTCTGGCCGAAAGTGTCTGCTCATAAGATTGTACACTGACCCTACAAACCAACGCAAGTAGTTCTCGCGCACTTTTGTCCTCACATGTGTGCGCCCAGGGAACTTCCCAAGGGCCACTCATCCTAGAATTGGTCCAAGTCCAGCATGCTTAACTTTGGAGTTTCTAAGTGACGAGCTCTCGAAAAGAAGATGCATCTTGTTGGTATGAGTAGTATAATCAAACCTTTTAAGCTCTTTCTACTCCCATCTTAACAGGGGGTATTTCATTCCCCCCACTTAGGAATGTAACTTCCTTGTTGCATCGTTTTTTTCAAGCCCTTAGATCTTCCCCGCTCTGATACCATTTGTAACACCTCAGCCCCTACCTGGCTAAAAGTGTCTGCTCATAAGATTGTAGACCTACCCCACAAACAAACACAAGTCTTTCTCGCGTAGTTTGTCATCACTCGTGCGCGCCTAGGGAACTTCTCAGGTGGTCACCCATCTTAGAATTGCTCCAAGTCCAGCACGCTTAAATTTGAAGTTTCTAAGTGATGATCTCTCGAAAAAGAATATGCATCTTATTGGTAAGAGTAGTACTGACAATCCTTTTAAGCTCTTTCCATTCCCAGCTTAATATGGTTATTATATTATGATGAATAGATTTGTTTTTGAGGCATTGAATCGTATAATGAGGAATGTAATGAGGTTCTATAATGAAAACTCTAGAAATGAACCACTTGGAAGGAAAATAGTTAACTGTACTCGGAGGTGATTTTTGGCAAATTTTTCTTGTTTTACCCAGAGCTTCAAGAGAAGAAATTGTAGGTGCATTCATCTACGTCCTCTTACGTCGACAGGGACACAAAATCTTTTTCTGATTGGATAATCAAAGTTGGAGATGGAAATCTATCAGTCATTGATGGAACAACTGACGTTGAAATTCCGTCAGAATACTTGATTCTAGGCACAAGTTATCCCCTGAAGCGTATAGTGGACTTTACTTATCCAAACCTATTAGAGAATATGAAAAATTATTCTTTTTCTAAAGATAGGGCACTACTGACACCCACGCTCGAGGTTGTAGAAATGGTAAATGAAATTTCTTTATCCCTTATTCCCGGAGATGAAATGAGGAACATTGACCAAATATCTAGATTATGTAATGGTACAAGATTAATCGTTGAAGATCTATAAAAGAACGCTATCGGTGCTATTGTGGTTTCGGGAAATCGAGTCGGGGAAAAAATTTACATACCCAGATTATTTTGCCATCTGATCTAGGACTACTCCTGAAGTTCTAGAGAAGACAACTCCCAATATCCTTATGTTTTGCAATGACTATGAACAAAAATCAAGGTCAAACATTGTCATTTGTTGGATTATTTTTAACCAAGTGGATGTTCACTCATGGCAAGTTTGTGTGTTGCTATTTCACGAGTGAAGACAAACACATGATTAAAAATATTGTTTCTAGATAAAAATGGAAACCCTTGCAACCATACCAAAAAATTGTATACCCAGAACTTTTTCAGAAAATTTTGTATTAAAACAAACTTTGTTGAGTATACATTCAATTCCTCAAATGTTCTTTATTCAAATTTGACATTTTTGTCTATAGTATTAGAGATAATGTGAGAAATATATTTTATTTATTTAGGATAAGATATTGCACTGAAAAAAATTCAGACTCGACAAAAATTTTGTTCGGCCCCGTGCGTCCCACGGATAAAAATACGGACTTGTTACCAAAAAGATTTCGATTATGTAGGAAACCTCCCTTTTCATGCGGTTATTCAACCCCTTCCTCTAGCTATATTGACTACATATATGACCTCTTCAATTTTTTTGGTCAACTTAAGAAGAAAAATACAGAAAATAGCAAGCACATTTACAGTTGCCCAAGTCCCAATTGTAAATAGGGCAAGCACTCATTGAAATGAGAAGAGGTATTTGTAAAACCAGAAAACAAGCTGGAGTAGCTCAGTTGGTTAGAGCGTGTGGCTGTTAACCACAAGGTCAAAGGTTCAACCCCTTCCTCTAGCGTTTCTCTTACTACACTTTGGTCATACATGACTATTTTGGAGGGAGTATTTTTTTATTGTTTATTATTTTAAAATTAAAATTTCCTATATCAAATTAAAAAGTTTTTTTAATTATCACCAATTTTTTTCGAACAAAATGTCTTAATGTCCTATTGAAAAAACATATATTTTTGGCAAAAAAGCACTAAATTAGGATTAAAACATTGAAAATATACCAAAATAGGACTTTCATGTGTTTATTATCGAGATACGAGTTAAAATGCATGTACGGTACCTCCAGGTCATGTCCAAGACCCCTTCCTCTAGCGATTCTCTTACTACACTTTGGTCATGTTCATCCATATATGTTTTTAATGTTTATGTTTTTAAAAATAAAATCTCCTATATCAAATTAAAAAGTTTTTTTTAATTATCATCTATTTTTTCGAACAAAATGTCTTCATGTTCTATTGAAAAAGCATTTATTTTTGGAAAAAAAGACTAAATTAGGATTATAACATTGAAAATATACCAAAATAGGAGTTCCATGTGTTTATTCTCGGAAAAAGGCCCAACTTTTTGCCACCAATCTGCAATTAAAGTCTAATTTACTTCCTCTCGGTGACCGTGTGATCGGGTCTGAATGGGCCCTCGGGGATGGGGCTCATATCATCCTCTTTTTTGGAAATAGGAGTTAAAATGCATGTACGGTACCTCTAGGTCATATTCAACACCTTCCTCTAGCGATTCTCTTACTACACTTTGATCATGTTCATCAATATATATTTTTAATGTTTATGTTTTTAAAATCAGAATCTCCTATATCAAATTAAAAAGTTTTTTTTAATTATCATCTATTTTTTTCCGAACAAAATATCTTCATGTCCAATTGGAAAAGCATATATTTTATAGGATGGTTTTAAACATATATTGTGAGTGCTCTTGAGCTTGTGAATATAGGTATATAAAGTCATATCCGTACATTGGTTTCTACCTATATATATTCTACACTAGTTTAGTGTTTCGACTTCATTCTTGAGAACTGAATCTTAATGGATTCTTGCTGTACCTGAAACATTTAAACAAACGTTTAGCTCTTATATTATTTGTTAACATCAAAACACGAGGCTTAGCAAACCAAGGCTAACACTCCGCATGGCGATGAGCATCGTCCGTCCTCGAGCCACGAGGATCGCTTCCAGCTCGATCAGGTAGTGATTGACGTGGAAGATCAAGGAGAACCGACCCCCGCAACGGAGTCGGGGGCGATGGTGGTCAACTCCCTGTTGTGCGCAAAGGCCCCTGGGGGGAATCTGCTGGGAGCGACCAGAGGTGAGTCTTCGGAGCGACTTCCTCTCTCACCTGCCATGACTTTTGAGATGGAGACGGAAGGTTGCTCGACAAAGTTCAGCATCCCCCACCTTTCCTCCGTCGACGAGGCCCGGCTCACTACTAGCCCCAGTCACGATCTGACTGACATGATCCTCCTGAAGTTCGGCTAGGTACTTTGACCGTTTTTTTTCACACACTGTGTTTGTCTTGTGTCTTCAATTTCCCTACTTTGGTGTAGGCCGCCCAAGGAGTGTTCGAGCTCGCCCGCCGAATGAATGTTCACCAGTCCGCTTTGGACGAGGTGAAGGAAGCGGCTGAGGCCGAGAAGAAAGAGATGCGGGACGAGGTCGACCGCCTCGCGAAGGAGCTGCTGGATAAAAGGAACCGCAGCTCCAACCTCGAGAGGGAGAATCCCGACCTGCAGGGACGCACCATTCGGCTGGAGGAGGAGAAGACTTCACTATCTTTCGAAGTGGAGTCAACCTCTGACCTGGTGGCCAAGCTAGAGGCCGAGAAGGGTGACCTGGTCTGTCGCCTCGAGGAGGCAGTTGAGACCTTCAAGGCTTCTCCAGAGTTCGGTGCGACTGCTATGGAGCAGATGGACAAGCTAGTCCCCAAGTGGGTGGCGACCCGTCTTGGGGAAGACTGGATGGTCGAACAGTCGAAGGTTTCCTATCGGCGGGGACTCTTCAAGACCCAACAGGTGTTTCGTCGCAAGCTGGCCCTGCTTCCCAAAGGGACTTCCCTCCCCGACTTCAGCCTTCCCCCTCCTTGTGATGACATTGAGGAGTTTGATCCCACTCCCTACATTGAGGAGGAAGATTTTGGCGAAGAGGAAAACGAAGAGATTGGACTGGGCGACCAAGGCAACTAGGGCGATCAAGGAGGGGAAGCTACTCAAGCGGCGACCAAGGCATTCTGAGGCCCAAGCACTGGCCCCTTTCAATTTGTTACTTGTATTTTCTTTTGAATTTTTGTAAAACTTTCAAGTATTCAGGGCTTTGCCATGATGTCAGCTTTGACTTGTTCCCTTTAGCTTTTCGTGTGCCGCTTCTGTTAGGTTTACTCCCCTTATTTTGCACTTACTTCCTTTCTTTTCTCAATTTGCTTAAGTTGGGGCCGGACCCAACCTCGGGGCCCAATCTCCCCTTTAAGCCCACTTACGCGGCGAACCCAATCCACTAAATGGCTAAGTGCACTGCCCATGTGGCCAATCACACGAGTCTGATTGGGAGATTGGGCCGTCCCGCCGCTCAAGACTACTTTTTCGATTTAGCTGCCCTAAGCCTTAACCATCTAGACCCTTCGATTACTCCGCCTTAAATTCTTTATAACCTGTCTTGCACCTCTTGTCCATTCACCCTTCTTCAACGCAATTTTTTTTCCCTGAGAGCTTCATATCTCTCCTTTGCCATGTCTGGAGAAGCATCCACTTCTATGACTCTCTCTGGAGGTCCTTCTCCTTCCTCGCCGGAGCCCGTCTCCTCCCCAAAGTCTGTCAATTCTAACTATTGGGGGGGATTGGACCCCTATGAATTCTTCTGCCGTCTCCCTCGCCTAAGCTGGCCCATGGTGAAGCCACCGCCAATTCCTCCGAATCCATATGATGACTTTAGCATGGCCACAAGGGTGTTTATGGCTAATCTCCTCCCTTTTAGGGAGATAGATTAGGATGCTCCTTGCCCCATCGACGAGAGGCATTATGCGGCTTGGAAGAGTGTGCAGGACGAACATCTACCCCTATTGGAGTAGGATATAGAATACCACATAGGTCTAGAGCAATGGACCCGCGAGAGCCGCACCAACTTGCCGGAGCCAGGTCAAGCTCTGCTGTTGCGGGGGAAGAGCTAGGTCCCTCTTGGTAACTGTGGGCTGGCCCTTCCCCTCCTCGGGAGTCCCCTAAGTGACCTAGAGTAGCTCCTCCATCTCTTGGCCCTTCATCTTCTTCGGGGGACAATATCGATTAGGGCTCACAGTGCGAAAGACTCACTTCCTCTCTACACGGAGGGAGAAGGAAGGTGGGTGTTTGTGACTGGTGGTGGTGGTTGGGGTTCTCCATGCAGCCATTGGCTACAGAACTACCCTTTACATTTTCCTCCTTTTCTCACCCCTTCAGCCTGCATTCCGCAAGGCGAGCTAGGCTAACCTCTGCTTTAAGTTACTTTTTTTCTTTGTACTATTATTTTTTATTGTGGAAGTAATGAACGTATGAGTATTCCTTAATGTAATGAATGTTTTTATGAATGTATGAAGGTGTCTTGATGTAATGAATGTTTCCATGAATGTTTCTTGATTAAGTTGGTGTTACCTGTCTGATCAAATTCTGACAGGTCTTACCATATCTTTTGGACTTAGCTTGGTCTTGTTTGAGCGTCGTTCTTAGTGATTAGGTGGCTTCACCCTTTAGGTGAGACAACCATATGCTTCTTGACTTAGCCTTTTGTGGGGGCTTTCTCGCCCAGGCGTCGTCCTAATCTTTCACGATCACATCACTTGGCGGTCGTCCGAGCGACCAATGGGTTCTGTGTTTTGCCCCCTTAGGGTAGCTCAGCACGAACACCATCTGGCCTTTCCTAGCGACTCTTCTTGGTCGTTCTTTTTTTTGAACAAGATCAATAAGCTGCGAAAATTTGCCTTTATTGAATTCAAAGACGGAACATAGGAATGTTACAACTTACTGATAAAATCTAATAAGATTAGCATTACTCCACACCAATGGGACATCTCTTCCAGTCAGGGTTTGTAACTTATAGGTTCCGTCGGCCAATACTTCCTTTATGATGTATGGCCCTTCAAAAATCTTTGCGAACTTCACCCCATCGGTCAGTTTACTGACCTCTCTCTTTCTTAGGACCCAGTCTCCCTTTACGAATATCTTGTGTCGCACCCTCTGATCATGGTATGCCTTGACTTGACGGCGATAATTTTCGACCCGGATATAATCCTTTTCTCTTCTTTCATCTTCTAAGTGGAGTTCAGCCGTCAAGTTCTCCTCAGTTTCTTCTACATCAAATGTCTTTACCCGGTAGCTCAGCAATGAGGTTTCCGCTGGGGCTCTTGCTTCGAATCCATAAGTTAGGGCGAACGGTGTTTCTCCAATAGCCTTCCTTGGGGTGGTTCTATAAGTTCACAAAATGTAGGGTAGCTCTTCTACCCAGGCACTCTTGCACTCCATGATCTTCTTCTTCAAACCATCAATGATGGTGCGATTGGTATTCTCGACTTGGCTGTTGGTCTGGAGATATTCGACTGCGGCATAGCTGTGCTTTATCCCCCAACATTTTAGAATTCGTTAAGTCCCCTAGCTTCAAACTGGGTTCCATTGTCGTTGATGATCTGTTGGGGGACCCCAAAGCGGCACAAGATCTGTTTCGACATGAACTTCCTCATCTGCTCTTCAGTGATAGTCGGCACTGGGGCGACCTCAACCCACTTGGTAAAGTAATCAATCGCGACCACCAAGTACATGTTATTTCCTTTTCCTCTTGGTAATATGCTGACCAAGTCGATTCCCCATCGGGCAAAGGGTATTGTTGTGCTGATCGGAATGTAGTTTGTCATTCGTCGTCCTGGCACCTCCTGAAACTCCTGGCACACTTTGCATTTACGGACATATTCCGCACAGTGTGGGATGATTGTTGGCCAAAAGTATCCCTGCAGATAGACATGGAAAAACAGAACCGGAACCGATTACCCAAACCGAAATATCCGAAACTGAAACCGGAATGACCCAAAAAATGAAGATCCGATCTATAACCGAAAACCCGAAATGATCCGAATCGAACCGAAACCGAACTAAATAATTCATATCCGATTTAAATCCGAAACTGATTAGATCCGAAACCGATAATATCTGAACTGATTAAACCCGAAACTGATTAGATCCGAACCCGATAATACTCGAAACCGATAAAATCCGAAACTGATTAGATCTGAAATCGATAATATCCGAACCCGATTAGAACTAAAATTGATAAATTCAGAATTATGTTTGCTTTTCAATAAGCATATTATATTTCTAAATTTTTACTTTTATTGTACCATTTGAACTAATTACATTACTTGCTCATTCCCTCATAAAATGGATTATCGTTTTGAAAAAAGTACAAATTTTATACATTAAATTTATTATATGTAGAAATTAAAGATAAGTTATACATATAAATGATAACGCACAACAAATAAAATTTCTGTAATTTTTAAATAGTGAAGTGTGATATTCTTTTTGGGACGAAAGGAATATATGATGAATTGTATGGAATAACTAGATTTTATCCTAATTTCATCTCATTACAAGAAATTTTATTGATTTGAGAGTTAATTTGATTAGTTTCAAACCAATTCACTCAATATTAGTCAAAAAAACTAGATTCTAGTGTTAGCATTTTGAAAAGACTCTCTAGCAGCAGCCTTTACTGTTATCATTTTCAAATTTGATCTACACCATTACATTTAGGTGTAAAATTAATTATATTTGACTCTATTAAATTTAATTTTCTCTATTTTCAACCAAATATACTTAATAATTTACAAATTTTGCACTCAATTGAATAAAATTCACTTAATTTCACCCAATTTTACTCAATTTTTACCAAATTGTATTCAAATGGAACATAAGACTATTTGAATTTATCTTTTATCCTTTCATTTATATACATAAGTATATTAGTAGATGTGAGAAAAATTTGATATTTCAAAACTAAATTTTAAAATCAATTTAATTATATTAAATTTATATCATAATTAAATATATATGTTTTCATAATTTGTAGTCCAAATTTGTAAAATATGACTAAAAAGTCAAAAAGGGAAGATTATTTAGGGTAGAGATAATATAACTAGAAAAAAATATAAAATAATATGAGGTATTGAATTGATGATAGATTGATAAATGTGATAAAACATAAAAAGAAACACGGATAGTTAAATTTTAATTAGAAAATAATATATATCCAAAATATATTTGATCCGAAACCGAAATATATCCGAACCGAACTAGACCCGAAACCGAAATATATCCGACTCAAATTGTATCCGAACCGAAATCTATCC